ATACCCGCCTAAGATTATTGAAATTCTTGACGCAAAAAATGTTTGGTGCATACCGGTTACGGCCACTGTATGATGTAATTACAATGTCTTTGTTCGTTACCTCTCGTATCGTCATATCTGCCACTCGTCCGACCTGACTTGTCGCTTCTGTTTCTTCCGTCGGATGTAGGAAGCAGTAACAGCCTGAAATAACGAAGCCATTCCCGATTTCAAATCAAATTTACGACAACGTTGCTTTCTCATGTTTATAAATTCATAATTCTTTTCTTATTTTTCACCCTATATAACCACTTGTTACATGTATTAAATTCTGACTTTGTCGATCAAAATGTGTTGCTTTTAATGGTGACCTTTCGCACACATATTTTGTATCACTTATACTACATATCATATTCATATTCCAGTAACTGCCATGAGACTTAACTTATTACGTTTCTAATAATTAATAAATAGTAACGTAACATTTTATACCGATAGCTTCAAGCTGTTACTGCAATTTAGGAAACTTAATTTATCAGATCATGATAATTTTGTTGATTGGAAAGCTGTATTAAAAAAACTTTTCAAGATAAGGATAAAATAATTATTTATTATCTTAAATATCACGGCAGTCCCAAAATATGTCAAAACACGATAGTGAATACTAGATACGCGTCTAAAAATTTACTTTACTTTATCTGTCTGTGCATGCGCTTTTATCTTTATATTATAAAATAGCTGACACGAATACAAGAAGCCTCAAGGCTTCTCATCTATAGTTGTCCCCTTCTCTTCATAATTAAAATTTTATATTCCTTTTATTTTTATGAAATAGGGCTAGCTTTAAAACACAGTAGAGTCAGTTTTAAACAGAATGTTATATACATTGATCGTATATGCAAATGATATTCTAATAGATTACATATGTATACATGTAAATTTTCATACGCTCCTTTAATTTTCCCAATTTAGAAACGTTAACATATATAACAATTTTCTACTGTCATAAATCTTATGTTGAGGTACCTAATTTGGTATATTTCTATTACATAAAAATCGTTATGTTTGTAAAAGGCTTGCCAGCCGAGATTAACCGAACGTGATGTGTGAACGGGACATAGTAAAAATTTATTTAAAGAAAGATAGACTTTTACAAAGTCGGCGCATAAATCTAATTAGCTGCCTCTTTTATTTAACACGTCTCGTTTGTCGAAGTAGCAGTCTATACGAATTAAAAACAAATAGGTATATATGTGTTATTTTTCTATGTTTGTTATGTGCTATGTAAATGCACACGCATATATAAGCACGTGTGTTTGTGTATGTATATATATATATATATATATATATGTATATATATATATATATATATATATATTATATTTACATATAAAGAATGTTGAAAAAAAGAATTCAGGACGTACAAAGTATATGATATATGCTAAACTGAACTAAAGAATCATTAGTGAACATACGTCGAAAAATTAACATTGCCAAAGTTACAAACGATTTTTCATTTTGGCGATATATTTTTAAATGCAAATGACTTCTGCTTGCTTCTGTTTCTCACTAGCAGCCGTCTTATATGTTTTTCTTCAATTTTCATACATGCTTTACAACATGAAAATCTTATCTATTTTAGGGATTAATATGCTCTTTACTAATAAATTACTAATGGTAGACACACACATACATAGCGTATATTCGAAATAACTACAAATAATTTGAACAAAGTTGGAAATTTTTTAAAATCTGCAATTCTGTGATACAAAAAAAGTTATGTATGTGCAGAAGCGGGAGAAGAACACGTAGAGAACATTTTTCACAAATATCTAAATAAGAAAGGTAATATGACTCTCTTTATATTTTTATATCGCGTGTAATAAAAAGAAGCAAACAAATTATTTACGTTATAAAAATAAAAATTGCTTGTAGTTCTGATGTTGCTTTTTCGGCTTATGTTCAGTATTTAATATCCAATTTAATGAATACTATCTATCCTGCAATTCCTAAATCCTTTTTCTTAACAACCTATACACACACACACACACACACACACACACACATACACACACACACGCACACACACACACACACATACGCACGCACGCACGCACGCATACGCACACACACACACGCACACACATATACAGAGTAAACCTTTTAACATGATCTATATGGTTATAAATATTTAAAAAGATATTAGTTTTTAAAAAATGTCCTAGATGAAGGTATTGAAGAGTTTGCACGCAGTATAAAGATGATGAGAAGCACGTAGTATAAAGATATTCGTTTAACTTTCGGCAACGATGTCATACAAAGATCACATCAAAGTCAACTTGAATTTTTTTAAATCAGAGCATAATTGCCTCAACCCATGTTTACAGTTCTTTGTCGTTTTCAAATAAAACGTGTAACTGTCATTAAATAAGAAATTACTGAATATAAGTTAAAGATATACTGCTATATCTTATAACATATCTACCTAAATTATATCTTAATATTTTCATACTTGAAATAATGAGAAAATGTTAACTTTATTATTATTTAACTCTGACAACATCACTTAACGAAAATAATCATTCGATTTATATTGTTTAATACCGTAAAATTGTTAAAAATACTTTCTTTTTTTCTGAAAAATGATTTAAAAGAAAAGTCAACATGTCACTTCAAATGTATCACCTTATACATATATGCATATGCGCGCCTACGTCTGTATATATATGTATATGTATATGTATATGTATATGTATATGTATATATGTATGTATGTGTGTATGTTTTCTGTGTGTGTGTGTGTGTGTGTGTGTGTGTGTGTGTGTGTGTATGTGCAGCAATGAACATGTAATATATAATATTAATGCTTATCACTGCTGCTCGCATGACGAGTAGCATAACGAATGAATTCTCCATATCGTTTAAATGATTTCAACGATAAAAAACAGTTTCTACTTATTTACACGACTTCCCGCTTCACTTAAACAGCACACAGTTACCGTCGTATATGCGACTATCTACACCGAACTCTACATTGACCGCCGAATGCGAAAGTACTTGAACAACATTTCTGTTTACCCTGGTCTCTCTTAGTATCAACGCTCAATGATAATCGGTGAGAATTATACAAGTGTCTACTGTACTGTTCGCTCGAGGCATATTAGAATTTGCGCGGCAGTGTTGGTTAATGAGCGATGAGATAGAAAGTAATAAGGAACGGCAGAAAGTAGGACACGCACGAGATCGTTTACACTGTTCTTTGCATTCAGAATATGATCTTTTCACTATCTTTGAGTAAGAATTAATCATCAGAGATTTATTGGTGTCTTCATCAATCGATGTTGTATTTGTGCGACTAAGATGTACACCAGTACGTCATATACGTCTTAATATCGTAAATCGCTTAAACAGTCGGCGGCAAAAAGGTTGCAACATGTTTCTCTTTTCTTATGTATCTCTGTATGTAATTAGAATAGTAAAAGACAAAAAGAAAATGAAAACGATCGTCCGATCGTTCTCATTCACTTTGATATACACCCGCGTTGAGGCTCGTTAAAGTGAAAAACAACAACCTTTTCATATATAAATTTTAATCTTATGCGTTTGCATATATGTACGAAGATCGTAAAAAATCTAAATTATCGAATGTATTACGGGACATATGATGTTTGGTGTAATCTCCAAGCAAACGGGGGAGACGTCTGTTATCTTATTGCCCCGCGTATTAGATGCACTCTCTGCCGTTTTTAACATTTAAAAAAAATCTCAAGACGCTCATCATTTAGAGGCACTCTGTCCACGACTATACTGTCAAATAAATGTGCACGAATAATTACATCGTAATTGCTGTTATACTCTGGCAAAATCACTTTACACCATGATTTAAGGAAGTATTTCTGTTTAGAACTTTGATATAATAATAGATCTTTCTTTCTCCCATCTTTAACATTAATGTTTTGTCTCTCAAATTTAAAGGTATACTTGGTTTCGATACAAATTGGATACTTGTCTCTTAGTACAGTTTAAATGCTTTGCTAAGAAATCTGGGAATTCATCAAAAACAAATTCTTTCATTAGACTATTGGCTGTGACTTAACTTGCGTAAAAAAATAAATTTAAACTATTAAAATAAAGTGTATGCACGTCAGCATACCAAGCAGTTGAGACTCACACTACTCGTAGATGGCAATTGAAGAATATTAATCGAAGAATAACCAAATCATTCATTTTGTCTCGTTTCTTTTTTCCGTACATAAAATATATGTTTCTGTATATGTTTATACATACAGGTCATAACTAAATTATTATAATATCTTAAAATTACCATTATTATTTATAGTTGTTAAAATAAAATAAAAATAATGTAAGAATTGTCAATATTTTTGAAAATATTTTTTAAAATATTCTCACTTTATTTCTTTTTATCCCAGTCCATAGTCAAAAAACTCTTAATTGATGGGAATCCTCTTAATCTTTTTGTTGCAAATGAATCATATTGCAATAAGTCAATCAGTATTAATCAGCGACAATTATGTTCTTTTTATAGTTATGTAATTATAGTCTTTTTATATTGTAGTTATATATTGAAAGTATTGTATTTAATATCCCAACGTACATACACGTAAAAATTCACAAAAACTTTATAAACGAACAAATAAGTACACAAGACTTATATGTTTGTGTCATAATTATTTTCTTCAAACAGACCCAAATACTGATCACTTTTTGCACTCTAAACGAAAATACTTCCTTAAAATCTCGTTTATTCTAGTTCCCTCTGGTGGAGTGTCTTCGAGGAAAAAGTTTCGCTGTGCCAAGGACGTGTAAAGATAAAAATATAATAAAAGAGGAAAAGGGAGAAAGAGAAGACGTTGCGTATTAAATGTACATGTAACACGTTTAGCTAACTAAAAATTAATTTTATGTTCTATCGCGACGAAATCGTAAAATTTTTGTCGAGTGATACTTTCTTGTAACATTAAAAGATACAACAAATACGTTTTCTTTTTTATACATTGTTGTATCTTTTACTTAAACGTCGCTACGTAAAACTTACCGCAGGATAACGAGACGCAAAGAAAGGTTCTTTAAGTATACAAAGTGTTCCTAAAACGTTCCATCAAACTTTACGTACATTCCTCGAAGAAACTGTATACACGATTATCATTATAATCTCTCGCAAGCTGAGTCATCAAATCGTGCTCTCTCGCCTGTTATTTCCATCATTAGCAATACTCACAGCACGATAATAAGTGCACGACAATACTCGAATTAGTCTTACTTAAATCTCTCTCTATTCTTTGCTTCGTGCTATCGAATATTTTTCAACAAAACGCATGAATGTGAGGCACTTGCCCAAAACTGTACCAGCCACAGTAATACTCCATTCCTGTTATAGATCAAGATCTGCCAACAATTAATACACGGGAAGGCACGCCTCGTTTCTCGTGCGAATGCTTAAATGTCTCTACACAATGTTTCATTTCATTTTGCATCAGTCTAAGCACATAACAGGTCACTGCTACGAACACAGTCCACATATGATATCACATTACAACATTACTATGATCTTTCGATCTTTCAGCCTTCTCGTTGTAGTCATAATTGTCGCTATCGTCGTCGTAGTCGTAGTCGTAGTCGTAGTCGTAGTCGTAGTCGTCGTCGTCGTCGTCATCGTCGTCGTCGTCGTCGTCGTCGTTGTCGTCATCGTCGGCATACATTTTTTTTTCTCGAATTCGATTCTCCATCGTTATCACACAATCGTTATCCTCAAGAAATTAATAAAAAGAAAAGTTCAAACGATCGAATTCTATACAAAAATAATTCTGCGATGGCTGTTCGTGAGCGTAACGATGGGCGCGCGGTGGGCACGAAAAGTTTGAAGATATTCTAAAAGAAGAAACAAAGATCCTCGGCCTCTTTGATCAATCTAGGACACAACGCGTCAGTTATGTATCTTACAATACGCATCCTTTCGCCGTGTGTGCTTATCGTGAGATTAATATAAAGAGAGGAGAAGGGTTCGTGTGTTGCGCGTGATACAGTATCTACGATCGTGTTCCTTCTTCAAGACCATGTCACAGATGCGAGATCATCTCAAGTACCAACACTGCTACTTCTTAAGCGCACAAAATTACCGACGTTCCTCGTGACCAAACCGTAAATAGTAAGAATGGACTTGTTCTGCTTCCGTAGAATACGCTGGCGATGCGATGCGATACGATGCGTTGCGTTGCAATGCGATGCGATGCGATGCAATATGATGCGATACGAAGTCGAGAGATACTATCACTTCCGTTGCGCCTCATAGGACAGTCCACGTCGAAAGCACATCGAGTTCGTGCCGCCACGTTTGCGATAATTCGTCGTCTTAATTAGAAGACCGTCGTCCACGCTGCGATGGAGCATAGACTGGGAGCGGGGCGATGGCGGACTGCTTATGGGCGCGGCCACATACGTAATCATGTCGTTAAAGTTCGGCAAGAATTGCGGGTTAAAGAGCGACAGGATACGTTCGTTAAGCTCGCGCGGATCTCGCGTAGGTACCATGTAATGATCTCGCGCGTTTTCCGTCATCTCGTGCCGATCGAACCGATTGCTGCCGTCGTCCTCGTTGTCGTCGATGGTGCGAGCGGCAAGATCGGTGCGGCGATGCCTACAGAGATCGTCGAGACTATTGGCACTGTTGCTGCTGCCGGAATCCCCAAGTTCGCGTGTCGTCGATTTGTCGTTCATCAGTGCGGTCTCGACGCACTCGGACCGAAGATACCGTTCACATCTTGGTACTACGGCAAATCGCTGCTGCACGTCGTACGAGCTGAAGTACTCGAGTGTGCAAATCTCGTCGTTCACGACACTCGCGTAGTGATCCTCGTCGCGTTTATGCGTGTTACTCGTATGGTCTGTAGTGATTCCGGTGGTAAGACTCGTTGGCGTCGTCCCGTCGTCGTCCTCATCGTCGTCACCATCGTCCTCGTCGTTGCGCTCGTCTGATTCCGCGAGATCAGAGGAAGAGGAAGAGGAAGATGCGCCAGAACCCGTGGGGTCCTGCGACAAGCCTCAGACGGCTCTATGTCGCCTTCTGTATCATATGTACGTTTTCTTCACCTTCTGCACTGGCTTGTTCTCTGCGGACGAATTGGCGTTTTTGCCGTTTGGGTTCTTAGGCGGTACGTTCAGTACCAGGTTGATGGACTTATTGTTGAATCCGGGTGACTCCGAGCTCTCCGTCAGTCGGTTCAGCTGTTGCCGTTGCTCGGATGGCTCGGGATATGGCGTCCCACGCAGTCTTTGGGAGAACCAGAAACCGAAAGCGAAGCCGGCCACCAGAGAGCAGAAGCAAGTGCCGATCAAAGCACCTGTTAGTGTCTGGGCCGAGTAGACTACTGGAGTCACAGTCACACCTGTAATTAGATAACAACAAGAGTTGAAACATGTACAGTATTGCGACTTCCACTTCTACCACTTCTTGCTGAGTATTCCTCGCGTAATCGCATTATTTCGCGTTAACGCAGATTTAAGACAAGACCCGGAACAAAAAAGCAAAACTAAAGCAACACATGTAAGAAACACTTGTATGTAGGAGTAAATGTGTTAAAGGTGTGATTGATTGATTTCACATTAGATGTATTGGCCACATAAAAAGTAGAACACGTATATTAGTATAGTGAGTGGTCTACTATTGCGAATCGCGTAGCTAAAAAGTAAAAAAAGAAAATGACAATCTTACGTAAGAAAGATAAGTCGAGAATTGTTTCAAAACTTTGACAAGTGGGAGATTCTGTTTTATATTAGAAATTGAAAAATTAATAATATTTCCGTCCAGTATAGTATAATAAAAGTTATTTAAGTTCATAATTGAGATATGAATTTTCAAATTTTCACATTCGGTTCTCTCTCGTAAGACAGAAGAAAGTTTCGTATAAAATTATCATATAAAATTATCATATTCCCGACTTGTAGCACTTTTATGCATTTGTATGTATAATTACCATCTTTTGCGCGCTCTCTCTCTCTCTCTCTCTCTCTCTCTGTCTGTCTCTCTTCCCCGTTTTCTTTCTTCTTCGTTCGAGTTATATTGTATGATAACGAATAAGTAAATGTGATATAACGTATTAGTGAAAAATAGATCAGTCGTAAACGTGAAATGAAATTTCACTCTCGAGAATAAATAAAGAACCGCTCAAAGCGAGACTGCGTATTGTAAACAAGATTAAGGCTTCGATATTAAGGATTAAGGATGATGTTAATGGTATGAAGGTACAGTGAACAATCCACCGTATTGCGTAAATGATTACCTTGAGGCTCGTTAGCCCTTGGCTGCGTACGGCCGTACTGATTTTCCCGATCCAACTCGATGACGATTTCATTATCCCGTTCATCGGGTTGCTCGTCACGCCCAATTTCGGGCGCTACTGCTGGTTGCACGGGCTTCGTCATTTCTGGAGTAATATTTACGAATGTGATGACAAAGACTAAGATGATTATGCGTCAAATGATCCCGTACATATATACATCGCGGTGCATACGCGAATACATTGTGAAATAATAATGAATTGTGTTAGTTGATTAGAGATTGTGCGAGCGTGTCTGTCTCAGTTTGATCGAGTAAGCGGACAAGTCTTTATCAGTATGGTACCACTATTTCAATGCAACATAACGTAACATAACGTAACGTGCATCTTCCACAGAGCCGCACACATTACACAGACACATAGCGGACAAAATAAGTTAGCAGTATGCCGATAAATTAAGCAAATTCCATAAGAAAGCCACAGCTACTAGTACGACTGAATTACGCTATTCTGTTGATTGGCATAGTTTAATAACTCGGCAGCAGATTGATACAACAATAGAACCGGATAGATACAATAGAGGGAAGTAACTTCGTCATTTCAAAGTGAACCTCCTATGAAACGTCACATATCTGGATTCTACGGGAGAACAAACAAGCAAACTTTATCCGGAACATTTCTTTGAAAAGTGTCTCTGTCGTAAAAGTATTATAAACACTTAAACTTTAAAGTGGAGTACATCTATCAAACTAACGTGACAAAACTATAAATTCAATAAAAGACTTCATAGTTTTTCTATTTTTTCTACTTTATTAAATGTTCGAACTTGGATGACAACGTTGGCGTACGTGTACTGTTTGTTTATGTTTTTTCGTGTTAATATCAAGGTGATGGATAGTCACGCGGCGAGGGGGAGGAAGAGTCGCACGCCAGCGGCTATTGATAGCCGCGCTATAAGTCCGAGCACGCCTCCCATTACCGCCGCGGTGCACGCTAATTCATTTGATTTTTCTCCATACGTAACTCGTTTATTTTTACGATTTTTGCAAAATGGTATTTGACCTTTGCCTTTATCTGAATCAACTATACGCCTCCATTGACTATGGCCACATGAATTACCAAACACACACACTCTGTATACTGTGTTTCTAGTTTAGTATAGATCATTAGATTTAGTAGGTTTTCAATTGGTATGATATTTACGATCACTGTAAGTGTTAATAATTTTCTTTGCACCTTAACTAAAAATAAAAAAAATATTCCATTGAACATGCAACAATCTATATGGTACCAAGAAACTCAACAACCTGCTCATTAGCACAGCCAATTAAAGTATTTCTTAAAAGGCGATGCCAAAGTGAATAATATGAGTTGCAAAAGTATCGATAATACGTACATAGACGTACTTAGAACATGATAGATTAACCTTAAACGATTAATAGATAATAAATTATAATATTGTGTATAATTAAAAAATTCTAATAATCCAGTTACGCCAAATTTTAAGATTATTACGCCGGCCATTGTATAAGCTACCATCCACACGTCACAAATAAAATTCTCTAACACCATCATGCCAAAGTTTTTTGTATTTCTTGCGCATATAAATAATATATAAATGGGTGCTATTTTGTTTTACCATATTTAGCAGAGAATTTAATCACGCGTACATAGAAACATCTCTGCAAATTTCTAGTATTCTTCTAAGCTTCTAGATTCACTCGCAAAGATGTTCTTTGAAAGTTTTCTGGCCACAGCAAATATAAATTGGTATGCATGGTAAGCTGCGGAACTTTTAGGCAAAATTTTCACTAATTAACAGCACGAGATGTAAATTTTGAAATGTTTAATTTTTCCCTTCACACATTAGACAAATGCTACATCATTTTTGCACGTTCTTTCATCGTGTAAAAGCGTGTATAACACTGTGCAACCAATAAAACGTCAATACTCGGTCAATGAAGTTTTCAAATATAGCATTTCCTTAACAGGAAGTTTGAAGGCCGTTGAATTGGTCGGTCGAGAGATCAAACATGGTTTACGTGAATGATCTTTGTAGTCTAATTGGAAGCGTCAGTAGCCAAGGATACAATGCGTCGTCACATACCTCCAATACATACATTTGCAAAAATAGCGAATGCCCTACGAGGAATATATAACGCAACTTATATTAACGGCCATACCTTGTTCGTATCCGCAGCTTCTGTGTCTTCCAGTAGAAATATCTTGAAATAAGGTCTTGTCGGCGTCGCTATCATGGAGCTTCGTTAGTACAGCCACGCAGAGGTTCGCGGTTGCGTCCCAGGCGCAATGAGGATCCTGTAAAGCGACGCAGGACCTACAAGTAGCCACAGCAGGCGAGTCGCAATGATGCAACGGAACCGCGCGAATTTCAGAATCCGCGAATACCACCAGTTTGCTCGCTTCACCAGCTAGATGAACCACTAGAAGATCCTTCACTGCTTGACCTAGATAATAAACAATTATAATTTACAATCAAAGTAATATATTAATAAAGAAAACAGATGGAACATCTCACAGAGAACGTAACTAGTGGAAATTAGTTTACGATAAATTTACTGAAAAGTAAATTTATTCTTCAATTTCGAAATTTGAAAAATATCTAAACATGTTTTACATATATACATGCAAGAACGCAATAATGCAATTTCACAATAATATGATTGAATTCATTGAACCACACATGTTGGGACATTTTATGTAAATATAAATACTATCATGCAAATATATAACAACTTGGTTCATCTTTCATAAAATGCTTGGTCGTACCATGACAACTTACCAAATTTTAATACTTGGACATCACTGACGATAATTTGACCGACGTTATTGCGAGTTTCCGGTGCGCGTGTGTTGAGCGCCTTTAGAACACGGCCGTCATCTGCGCAGGACCAATTAGTTTTGTTAAGTTGACGAGACTATACTTTTTATGTATTAATTAAATAATTTTATTTTGTTCGTTATATACAACATATAAGTAATCATACCTGTGCCAATGTAGAGAATGTCGTAAGTTTTACCGTCCAATGCTTTTACTTGAGGATCTACGGCGACTTTTGTAAATCTGTAACTGTAACCGTTAAGGCCCAACGTCGATAATGCGTCACAGTGTAGGTATTATGCTACTCAAACTTATAAAAATAAAGAGTCGTAAAGAGTAAATATAATTAAATTAAAAAGTGATATAGAATACAAAGAATATATACACTAGACAAAAAATTATGTTGCATATTAGATAAGATCGGCGAGATTCATTCACTCACTTAAAACTGATTTTCGTTATCACAGGTAGCGCGAAATAGGATTGCACCGCATCGTCCATGAGAGGATGAGCCTTAACAAAATTGACAGTAATGTCCGGAAGCGTTCTGGAGTCATTAACGCAGGCGCCGGGTCGCGGTTCGGGCACTCTTTCCGGTAAGACCCGTAACCAGTTGCTGTTTATAGTCTCCTGTTCCTTAAAAGCGCCTTGGAAGACCTCGAGAATATTGTTCATAGAGAAAGCGCAGATTGCTGAACCCCCGATGGAATTAACCGGGGTTGTGAAAACCCCGTAGACTAAGCGCGCAGATTCACCCGCATATCGGCCGTCCGTAACATCGCTTGTTGATTCTGGATAACATAAATATGCAGAAACGAGTTAAATTACTTCTTTTTTCTTTATTTTATATATTTATGTACGTTGGCAATATTATAAGTAATATAAACATCTCTTATATCGCATGCACGGATATTTCGTCGATCGCACGATGCTACATGAATAATCAAATAGTGTAGATTTAATATTCTTTCTCTCGATGCACTTCGGGATAGAAGAATCTGTTCTTGACTTTTCAAGCGAATTCCTGTCATTTGACATCAATTAAACTTGCGAACTGCGTTAAAAAGCAGTGTCAAGACCGAGGGTATATCTTTTGTAACAATACTTACTTGAAAATCGAGCAAACGCGTGACCCCGCGCACACCCCATACCGACTCTTACAGTTGCTGTCATTTATTTTAGACTGTTCCAAACATGCAACTGAAGCCTTCGAAATCGCATTCGTTTCTTTGCGATATTTCATAGGATGCAAATGCGCATTGGATGAGAGTCGGTGGAAAATTCGAAGAGTAGAAGAGAACGGTGTGTGTGTGTGTGTGTGTGTGTGTGTGTGTGTGTTCTAAGTGGGAACTAACGCGGCGTAGAGTCGGAGCAGCTCTTTTACGTGCCCTTTTAGGAGCGTGCAAGAGCCTTCGTTTGAAACTACTCGAGCGTAGTCTCGATCGAAGAGACCACGAAAAGACATGCATATACATACTCACGTATTTCATTGAAATAGAAGGGGTATTCGCCCGGTACCGAACAGTTGAGTCGCGCTTTCAGGAAACTCGTCCATCTGTCGCTAAATGCATGTGGCCCGCCCTTGTCGTGCTGACAGACTCTGCCAACCCGTGAGTATACCGCCTGAAATACGGATCGAGTTTGTCAGCGATTGATTTAGTGTCTATATATATATATATATATATAAGGTGTTTATACCCTGTTAATCACCCGTGACACTTTGGATCGCTATACTCGCAAGAATTTGTTTAGAAAAGCAATTTTTCAATTCCGAACTTTGTTTCATATTTGCTACGATAAAAAGATAATTCTTTTTTTTTTTTTTTTTGTCATAAAGAAAATTAATTATTATTTTAAGTTTCGGCGGTAATATATTTCGGTAAATTCTTGTACACAAAAAGACGCGCACAATTAATATATTTCGCAAATATTCTAGTTTTAATAAATTTCTTCATCACATGTGTCCATAAATTCGGCGACATAGAGTGAACTTGACCAACTTTGGAAAAGTCCGAATATACAAATGCAAGACAAAAGAAGAGCTTTAGAATATTAACTTATCGATAGAGAAGAATTTCAGAGAATATGAGAAAGAATATCACCTTTCCACAATTCATGTATTCAACGGCCGTCTCGCGATAGAAGAAAAATACGTAATCTTGATATGCGAACGAGCTAACAAAATTGGGACCTGAAACAATAAAATTGCATTGATTTTAGTGGTATCACATGATACGCAGCTAGAAGGATGTCTGAGTGTCAAGTGTTGAAAAATGAGCAGATAATGCTGCTTCTCTTTACAACGTAGAATAAATTTTTCGTCAATCGGACAGGAGTCATCATTTCTTAGATACTCATGACTTAAAGAGCAAGAGAGAGAGCCGAAAATTAAGTTATAAAATTAAATCAAGTATTGACGGAAATCACAGACAAGATTTCACAAGAAGCAATACTGAATGACAATGGAAGCCGTCAATGGATGGCGACTTTACACGTGCATTGTTACCAAGTGACCTTATTTCAGCGCGTGGCAGCAGAAACTTACCGTTTAACTGATTCAGATCCGAACGTTCGGTGCGAATTTTCTCCCTGTGAATCAGTGGCTCACCACCCGAGAAGTCGGCCACTGTCGCAGCGTAGAGCTGGCCCTCTGAAACATGCATAAACGTTTCCGTCAGTGTCAGTCAGTCGGCCATTCCGTCACGCCTTCCACATTTGCAACCTAAACGAGACACCTCGGCTTAATGGTTATACAGCGACACTTTCGGGTTAATCCATCCGCTTTCACGCGCGTCTCCTAGAAATTGCTCGCGAAAATTTACGTTGGAGGGACTGTTCGCAGTATCGAGAACGAGTGGCTCGCGCTCGCACGAAATTTCCCGCCAAAGTCAATCCGAAAAGACCGGCAGAATTGTGAGGAGAGAATCCCTTTAAACGACGTCAATCTCCTCCGACCTCGGGGATCTACGCGAGTAATTATAACAAGCTTTATCCCAAATGTCAGCTGTCTTCCAAATTTACGGTTCCGCATTTCGACATAATAATCTGTACAGTCCTTGGCTCCGCGTCAGGATCGAGCAACGAATAGCTGAAGGGGTTAAAATTCGATGAGCGCGGTCTCTGTCGACCTCCCCGATCGGGAGCCAAAGGGCACATATTCTCGAAGGGGAAATTACACAAATCGAATATAGATGCAACCTGACGAATTGTAGCGTTCGAGATTGCACAAGACACGACATATTTGGGGGCGCATGAATAAGCCGATACAATGTCGAGCGTTTGCGACCACGACATCTTTTTTACAGCTGCGGACACTCCTCGCGCCGTCGGTTGTAGAACATCAACTCGAACAGGCACGTGTATCACATAACGATGTTCACACCAAAATTTCGCTTCAGCCCTGCAGCTAACAGCTGCGCGAGGGAACAACGGGAAGACGACAAACCTGAGGAGGTAAGCTCCTCCTCAGCTGGGAAAGAGCACGTAATGCCATGGATGACTCTGTACGGATCGCCCATGGATGAGCGATTTATCTCCGCATCCGTGGCAACCGGTCACGAAAAGCAGCCGGAAGAAGCCGCGCGCGCGGATTTGATCGGTACACGTATATGTATGTAGCATATATTGCGCGCGCGCGCGCGAGAGAGAGAGAGAGAGAGAGAGAGCATACACGGCGAAGTACCTACGCGAAGCGGACTACATTTTCTCCTTCCTCTTGGCGTAGCGAAGATCCTCGAAGGATTCGCCACGGCCCCTCGCGGGGCCGCCATATTTCACGTTCAAAAAGCACGATGGGATTTGAGGCTGGCCGACATATGCGCGCGATAAGTGTATATAGCAGCCGGGCGGTCATATATAACGGGGGCTGAGGTAGACGTTAGACTTAGGGGATGAACGTGCTCGTTGCAGGCTACAAATCTATGGTGAGCCCTGCAACGCCGAAGCTCGCGAATATCATATACCGCGCGTGCCAGGAGGTAATACCTACGGGAAAGAGGTTCCCTACGTTACGCACGCACGCAGGCGCCCCTTTTCAGCCAGCCTCGCTCGTTGCTTCATCCGAGCGAGACACGTAACGCGACATTCAGGTCGCAGGACTGTTGTTGCTGTCGCGCGTCACAATGCTCGCTCGGTGATTCAATGCACCATCGCGTGGCGCCCGCGCGTTTTGTTCCACGTATACCTCGTGTCACCTCTGCGAAGATTCAATCAAGTTTCGACAGGAGTCTATGCTGCCGCGAAGAGCGAGAGAGAGAGAGAGAGCGCTCGCTGAATCGAATCGCTGATAAAGTAGTTGCGATACACGGGGCTCAATGGTGAAGAGGGAAGAAATTTTAGCTTCTTGAATTTTAGGGTCCTCAAGCGCCGCGGGAAATCTCTTATGCACTAGGAAAAACTGTGTCGTTGCGTGAACCAAAATTTTGTTGCGGCGACAAAATAATTGGGTTAAGGTATGCCCAACAAAACTGTTTAGTTCCTGTAAACAAATATCTTGTTTGATTACGGCTCGTTCGTATAACTTCGTAATACTTTTGCTATAGCAGCCAAAAAGCTTTAACTATATGAATTTTGTTAATTATTATATTTGTTATTATAATTTTTTCTTAATATATAAAATCTAAATTTTAGTGCACAGAAAGACAAAATAGTATCCATTGGGCATTATTTTAGTTTGTGCAAATTAATATTTCGTTATTATTTTAATTTTTATGGATAAGATAACTAAAATGCTTAATTTCTATATATGAAGTCTAAGAACAAAATTATTCGGTCCGGAGAACAAAGCAGAAAAATACATTTAGTTGAGACAATTAAATATTTTGTTATGTAAAACGAGATATTTGGTTGCTATTAAAAAATACCTCAACTAACAACAGTTTTGTTAGAGCTACTAAATTTTTTTCCCTAGTGTGGTCTCAGCGATTCTTCGGTCAGTTTGGAGATGAAAATCCCGACATGAAAATGTCTCAAGGACGCAACATTTCTCAGATGATGAATTTTAATCGTGCTTGTCTGCGGAATAATAGTTGTCCTATCGCTCAGCTTTGTACGCTTGCGTCCGATACCCCGTACGTACGTATTATGTTACAATCAAAATAACAGATACGAATTATGATTTACAAATTTGCGCGTTTATGGCCGTATGCCACGGTTTACCATTTAATCATTTATCTAATTAATCATATACATGTCGTTTACCATATTATATTATATTACATATATATTCCGTCCCGGCACATTTTACTTCATTTACTTCGCATTGTTATTTCATCAATTTATATCTTATTCCAACTGAATAACGCTTATTACGACTAAATGTGGAAAGTGACCTATAATTAGAAATCGATAAGTCCTAAATTACAATGCTGTTAACAGGTCAGTTGTTATAATTAACGACGACTGAAAATAGATAATATTCGCTGTACCCATACTTTAGTTAGTTTACGCCAAGTCTGTTTGCATTGATCCCGCTGGTCCATAACACAGTGTTCAGTAATAAACACGTAAATATAAATGTTAGTTTTGGAATGCGGTCAGTAGATGGGATTATAAGCTAATTATATTATAGAGCGTAATATTAACAGGGTGTCCGTTATTGACGACCAAACTCGCGTACGACTAGAACGGGATTAAAATAGGAGAGGATTTTTCCATTCAAGAAATGAGAATAAGACGAGATTAAAGGAATACGACTGCATTTAGTTTCATTAGAAATTTAGCAGCCTGCATAATTGTTTTACTTATATACGAAGTATAATCGACGTTGATCGTTAACTAAATATCGTTGGCGGTAGAACGGTAAAATAAAATAAATTATGTAAAGTAAGAAAAGCAAACAAAAACGTATGTAAAATAAATCACGTTATAGATCTTGTGTCTCGAGATTGAATTCAGGATTTGTTGATTTCCCCGGGAAAGGAATAATACAAGGATCATTCGTTGAAGTATTTGTGCATATTTATTACACTGGCAGGACTCGAAATAGTGCGCGAATATATCTCAATTGTGTGCAGCGGAGGAATCGTTTCTGTGGAATGCACAAGGACTCGTGATACGCGCGTTGAAGCTCCTCGTTCTCGCAAGCGAACTCCATTCGTTGTAGAGCGATCGGATCTCTCGAGTGGCACTTTGTGTCGTCAAAGCCACGCGTCGTCTGTCAAATCTGGTGTCGGTTCAGTGCATGGCACATGTTTCAGAATGTAATAAAAATTTACTCGATAAATATTTTCCACGTACGCGCATGGATTTTGATCCTGCCAGCGCGGAGCGGGACAGATTTCGCGCGAAAACGTTCCGATAATACGCGGCGATATGGCCGACGAAATTTTCCGAACTAAAAGAAATGCATTTATTTTCGAATAATTCTCTTTTGATTTTGACAAATCCATCCTTCAAGAAGTTAAACGACGCGATGACGCCGATAACTAAAAATTAGATTCTCCCCGGGGTTTTAATAATATTTCGAAGAGTAAAATTCCTCATGAATGTCAATTATTTTAGTCGAGACTCAGCTACGGCTAGAATTTTATTCTAATGTGTACCGAATATATCAGAGAACAAATTCCTGGTTACATGATTAAACTTTTTCCAAACATTAAGAAGGAGGGAAGGAGAGGAACGATTTCGTGTTGTTTCTACTAATCATATAAATTTATATAAATCGACAACAAATCGATTGAATTCACGGGCTTACACGGGAAGTTCTTCTCTTTTTTGAGAATTTAACGGCGCGTCGTAAATTAAATTCTCTTTAAAGACTTTAATTCACGGCGGTGAAAATTTTGTTCTCTGAGATATTTGTTATGATATATTAATATTTACTCGGTTGTAAATGTGGAAACTTACCGGCGAAGACTGCTGTGCTATTGTGTCGCGGGTCGTACGGACAGAGGCCCAGACCGTCCATATCACTTTTTTGTACATATGCTCCATCCTGAAATAAAAATCAGAGGAATTATGCATCACGATGTATCATTTGCTTGGAAGTGATGGTACGTAGTAACAATGTCAACGTGTCCGCATCCCTTTTAATTGCGTAATAGACCATTGGAACACTGCAATATAATTTGTTGGTTCCATCAGCCAGGTTTTTAACCATTTTGTTGAAACGTTCGACCGATACATAAAATAATCGAATCAATAACGAGATCTTCTCCCCCCTCTTTTTCTCTCTATATATCATGAAATGATTATGCAGCATGTAGTAATTGCGACAATTAATTGTCGATTTTAATATTCCTCAGTTGTTCATTAGTCTATTAACCGAAAGTTCGCTCAAATATTAGATTGGAAGGAAAGTAGTGTCGTATTTTATTATTATTATTTTTCCAATAAATATATAGCTTCAGTATATTTTATTATATATACCAAAATAAACCTATTTTCATTGATGTGCTCAATTGGACGAAGTCATTGTAGAAAAACGCTCAGCACTGGTGAATAGAAAGGGTGTTTTATCCCCCTCCCCCACCCCCTCATTAGGACCAAATTTCACATTAGACCTCATCTTTCTTTGACCAGCCGGGAAAAAATATGGCAACTTGGCTGGGATATTCTATCCCAACCAATATATATTCTCTAGACATTGCTCCTTCGGATTACTACTTGTTCCGGTGCTTGTAGAACTTCTTTAAGAGTAAGGCATTCACTTCTTTTTGGAGGACTGCAAAAACCTTCGGCAAAAATCTTCAGCAGTTCTTAGCTGAGAAAAATGGCCGAGTTTTACGCGAGAGGAATTATGCAGCTACCCGAAAAATGAGCGAAGATTATAGAAAACAATGGCTTACATCACAATGGTGACATTGCCGAGTGCAGTTGTTTCTAAGTACCGATAAATCGGCTCCAATTTCGAGCTGAGATTACCTTCTTTCCGATCCAACATGCGAATTTACGGATCTCGATTTGTACGAATATCGCGTGTTCCGCAAAGCATAATAATACGAAGGATGTTCTCGTTTATATTCGTGCACGGCGAATATAAGTAAATGCGACAAAGCAAACCAACTTTACATCGTTACGCCATATGTCATCGAATTTGCTTCAATTTACGCTCCGATAATATTGTTAAATAAAATCGAGACGAGCTGTAAAAAAGCTTGTAAATTTTTTTTCTACCAACTGTGTTAGATTGTACATCGATTTATATTGCATATCCCGTGCATCGCTCGTGACGCATTCCGAATATTGCCTTCGCGTGCGATACGTGTTGCGATTAATTTGCTTATACTAACGATACCCCCTCCCGATCTTTATAAAAGCAGAAAATTATCTGAAATCCCGGCTGCACGCACACACACATACACACACACACAACAAATCGATACTCTTGGCATGAAAATGGAATATTATAACGGTATTGCTTTATGGCGTTACTACGTTCCGTTGTAAAAAAGCCTACGGTCTATTCTATTCGTCAGTCAAATATACTTGTCTCTTGTCGCCGCACCGGCAGCCAAGTTTGTCCGCTACCTGCTCGGCTTTTACAAGGGATTAATACATAGAGTGAGTTCGCGCTACGATAATTTAACTTAATAGAAGACTGGACGGCGAGCAGGATACGAGAGTGCTGTATAAAACGCCGCTTCGTTACTATTTCGCCCCGCTCTACCCTTACGGAAATTTAAGACTGGTGGTGAATTGGTGATGAATTGGCCCTTTTTTACTTATTTATTTATTTATTTATTATTTTCGCTTATTTACTTATCTAATTACTTATTTTGAGTATTAAAAGAACGTTAGTAATTCCCAATGATTCAACTGCGTCATCTGGTCGAACTTCCTCGATATAACAATCCTTTAGCTACGATCGTTTGCGGTTTATCGCGGAATGGAATATTAATCGTTCGGAATAAAGTCTGTTCGGTGCGATACGTTTTATATAATAAAAAAGAAAAAAAAAACAGAAAATACAGAGGCCTTTCCAACAGACTATCCGAATTCCACGCTGTGAAAAATCTGTGTACATATGTATATAACGCGCGAACGCCATTTTCGATATTTTAATTCAATATCAAAGTTCACCGCGAGATAATTTGTGATTCTGCCATAAATCCTACAAGGAAACAATTGCGAGGCGCCGCGGGAGACGACAGCGAAGGTGCGGGCGTGTCCGTGCTTAAGATACGATAACGGTCTGATTTGTGGCAAGTAGGAAAACTTCGTTACAAGTTGGGGATCACGTGCCGCTCTTTCCAAAGTGCAACGCGGCCATCGCGAAGCATCGATACCAAAATAATATCTGATATCGAAACAATATTTCAGACGTTACTTCGTTTCGCGGTAAAAATGAGCGCACGATTCGTGCATTTTTAATTCTTATCTCTCGTCGTCCGCAATCCGACTGTATCATTGCGGAAAAATATGCGGAAAATTAGGATCCGGGATCAATTAATAAAGTCACTAAAATATATAGCTAATGAGATGAAGCTCATCTGGATTAATTATTGTAACATTACGATTGTTACAGCAGTGACGAATATTTCCGAAGACAAGAGCTACTGCAAGATAAATTAATGATATTTGATATCACGATTTTATTTTTGTCACTGAAGCATGATCGTTGCTTTATGGTACGGCTAACATGCTCTCTAAAAGTGAATCGGTGAAACTCACTGCGCTCAATCAGCGATTACGCACTGATTCACTTTTAGAGAGTGGTACGGTAACACTGTAGAGTCATTATTAATTAATGAATCGCGAGGAACGGTATATAATCGTCGTATAATCTGAATAAGTAGACCTTTATGTAACACCAAGTTCCCAGTTACATCTCCGTCCCTGCTAAACAACGCCATCGAAATGCGCTATTATTGTAAAACAGAGCGCATTAGGAGCAGCGTCTCACATCTTGACGCGCAAGTTAAGTACATTTCCATGGTACCGGGTTCATGATCCCGCCCGCCGCAGCTTACGTTCATTAATCGCTCGCAGGTTTGCGCGATAAGATTTTCCGTTGTAAATTTCGCGAGGGAAAGCGATAATTGCGAAACGCCGCGGGAAACGACCACGAGTCTCTCGTCTTCGCACGTTCGCCCCCTGTCACGATATAATTTGTGCCAAGTTCGAAAACTTTCGAGTGCAAACTGTAGAGTCTTCGCCACTTTCTGACATTGTTTCACAACGATCGTGGCACACAATGCCGTCGCCCAGATTATCACGTTTGCAGCGAAGGCAGCTGTATCGCGCGCGCGTGTACGTGTATTTGTGTGTGTGTGTGTGTGTGTACGTACATAAATATGTGCAAATTATTTCTCGCACAAAACTCCAAGTTTTTTCACCGAAACCAAATACAAGTTCAATGTTCGAAATAATTCCCTATCATTGTCCACGACTCTGTCCCATCTATCTATCTGGCAGCTATCAAATTTTTTCGCGGAAAGAAACTTGGCGATTTTCAGTTGACAAAGTCCTCCGAGACTTTATCGGAGACTCCATCCATTGTTTTGAAACGTGTGTATCGGCCGAATAATGGCTGTGGAGCGATTAGAACAGAACCTGGTAGAGATGTGCGAATCAAGAATTTTTATGTCGATCGAATCGAATCTCATTTTTTTAATTCGAATTCGAATTGAATCGAATCATTAAAAAATTTAACACGACTATTAAACATGCACATAATGATGGAAGATTTTAATATGAAAGGGGATATTGATATTGTAATATCATCTTACAGTAAAATATATATTTAAATATTTAAAGTAATTTATAATTAAGTTATTAATTATAAGTTGAGGGTTAATTACAAGTTAAGGGTTCAAATATACAGGCCCAGATGGCTCGTTTTGTACCTGATGCATGTAAATATAATGCACGTTAATATATTTTATTCGTAATTGAATCTTCGATTCGAAATTTTCCAATTATTCGGATTCGAATCATAGGAATTCGAATAGCTCGCACATCTCTACAACCTGGTAATTTTCTACCTAGGGATTAGGTCTGGTGACTAAATCACACACGAGGAAGAATTTCCCAGCGCAAGGTACAATAATAATATTCTTCGTCTCCTTCGCGGCACGTGGCCAAGTACTGTCGCAGAACGATTCGTCCAGCTCCCTGGCCAGTACAGGGTCTCTTTTGCCCTAATGCGTCGTTCAAACGGTTGGAACGGTTGGACTGTTAGTAACGCTCTGGCCAGGATCTAACGGAATCTCCGTCTGTCTCCGTCGTCAGCCTTCGCTTTTCGCGATCGAGCATTCGAAATTCTGATGAAATTTCGCTCGGAAGAGTATCAGCCTGTTGGCGGGTACAAGCGGTGATCTCCCCCCCCCCCCGGTTTAAAACAGATCTATTGAATTCTAGAAGATCTATTGAATTCACAGAGAGGGACTTTCAAGTTAAACGATTAGCAATTGCGATAATGAGACCGGCGCGCAGCACGGGGTGAGCCGAGTACGACGCACCGTCTAAGCGATAACTAAGCGAACAACTACATGCCTGCCAGCTGATAGATACGCAACGTGCTTTTGTGCGTAGCGGATCCCAACGTGGAACCAGAATTGTGGAGTGCTGCCTGAGATAATTTTACGCTTCACTTCCGCGCGTGTATACACTTGCGGCATAATTCGCATCAAGTGGGAAAACTCGGGTACGTGCATACGTCATGTATCGCGGTTTGCGCCTGCTTCTAGCAGCACCCTGGTGACGATCAAAGTAACAACGCGCCACGGGATATAACTTCGTTTATCCCGATTAACAACAGCAGACTGAGTCGCGCGTTAAAATTTCGGCCGTTCTCCGCGCAACATGCGTACATGCGACAGATTAACCCTTTAACGCCTACTGGTAACTATACACTAACTTTCGTAACCAACAGTTGCCAGAAACGCGGATTTAAGAATCCATAACTTAGTGAAAAAAGGAGATATTTTCGTTATCTCCGCACCACTGTAAAGGTGAATTCTTCTTCTAAAAAATGGTACATGTAGATTCGGT